CCACGACCCCCTCGTCGGGTGAGGAGGGAACCGGTTGTTAAGATTTTGCCAGCTCATCACTGAGTGCACCCCACGAGTATGAACCAATCCCCACTGGAGAGAGCACTTCCTACCCTGGCCCTGCAGGATGGAGCCATCCAGTTCCCCTGCCACTCTGAAAGGCCAGGAGCTACTACTCACTGGGTGCAGCCTTCTGCTCTGCTTCAGCCCCATCTGCTTCCTCCACAAAGAATTCAAGTCCCCCAAAAAATGAAGTTCGGGGCAGGGGTGTTTGAAAGTTACTAAAACCAGAATACCGGCTTTTAAAAATCCAGGATTGTTTTGGAGAAATATCAGTAAATACAGAAAACAAAATGCCTTACACTAAATTGGAGGTTTTTTTGGGAAAACCAGATACTCACTGAGACTTGCAAGGATAGGTGAGGTAGAACTCCAACAGGAGTCAAGATAGGCAGATGCAGCTATTGGCTCAAACTATTAAAACTCACAGAGAAGTAGTTTCCCACTCAAATGACCTAAAAGTGATATGGATTAACCAGCACTAACACAAGCTCTCTCATCCAGGTCTTCTTAACTGGAACAGAAATGTTTTCACAGTGCTCACATAATCCTGCAGCATTTGACTTTGTTTCTCTAGTGGAGGGGGAGAGAAGTAGGGGGGAAGAGACATTGCTCTTAACTAGTTACTCGGTCTCCATGCATGTGTAGAGAGCAGGGCAGGCGTAATTCAGTTGGAAAGACAGAACAGGATGTGGTAGCCACCAGTCATGCCCAGAAACTTTTCTGAAGCTGTATAAAAAAATGTTCATAGTGGCAACCCAACCGACTGGTCACACTCTAGTCCCTCTCTGAGAACTGAGCCAACCAGAGAGCAAGGGGGGGGGGGGGGGGAGGAAGAGGTCAAAAATAGAGTTAAAAACAGTCCTGTGGACTCAGCAGAAGATCGACATAGGATCAAATGACGTGTTACCTGTGTGGGCTGTGTCCAATACCAACAACACGGATACAGGCTGCAGACATCTGCTCACCAGCAACTGAGAGGATCAACCAGCTATTAACCCCAGGGCTGTAATGCTGCTAGCTGTGGCTTTGAAGAGCCAAGTGGCACACGTTGCATACATACACACAGGCTATAACACTTTTTGGTGGCTATGCAAATACTGTAGCTGATTTCCATCTTGCCCCTTAAAACTTTTCATTTAAGTATTTAATTGGCCAGGTTCTTTTTTCTTCTCTTTGCTCTGTATGTCTCAGTCTAGCCCAGTTAGGCCAACAAGCTACATCCACCTACTTAAAGTAGGTCTACACAACAACTGAGACTATACTAGCATAACTATGGCATAGAATAGAATAGAATATCAGGGTTGGAAGGGACCTCAGGAGGTCATCTAGTCCAACCCCCTGCTCAAAGCAGGACGAATCCCCAATATTTGCCCCAGATCCCTAAATGGCCCCCCTCAAGGATTGAACTCATAACCCTGGGTTTAGCAGGCCAATGCTCAAACCACTGAGCTATCCCTCCCCTCGCATAGCCCTGTAGCTTGGACACAGCCTACACTAACCAGTGTTTATTCTCACCAACTGCCTGAAGGGCATTAGCCCTCTTCTGTCAATACAGCTGTGTCTACACTGAAGTTCATATTGGCATACCTACACTGGTGAAAGGTGTGGTTTCCTCACACCCCTGACTGACATAGCTATGCCAACACAGCTGCACCTACATTGAGGGTTATGTTGATAGAAGAGGGCTTCTGTTACTATGGCTAACTCCGTTCAGGGAGATGGTGTCCTATACAATCATCTGTCAGCATATGCTGTGTCCATGGCTATGTCTACATTGCAGAAGCTACAATGATGCTGCAGTGTCTGCAGCATAGATGCAGCAATGGAAAGTGTATCCTGTCTTCTCCTCCCGCACATCGCTGTAGTTAATTCACCTCTTCAAGAATTCTGCTGTCAACATAGGTGCATCTACACCTGGGGTTAGGTCATCTTAACTATGTCACTCAGAGGAATTTTTCACACCCCTGAGCAATGTAGCTAGGTTGATTTAAATTTTAGGTATAGATCAGGCCCACGCTATAGGGCTATGCCAGAATAGGTATGCAGGTATAGTGTCCATAGTGGAGACATAACACAGTATACTAGATCAGAGGTGGCCAAACTTACTGACCCTCCAAGCCACATATGACAATCTTCAGAAGTTTGAGAGCCGGGGCACACCTACCCAAGCTCCGGCTGGTGCACCCTGCAGGGCTGAAGCCCCGAGACCCTCCTCCTCGCTGGACAGAAGCTCCTACCTCACCACCCCACTGCAAGGCAGAGGTCCTGAGCTCCCTCCCTAAACCTCCCCAACCCCCCCAGTCTGGTAGGTGGAGAATAGGGGGGCTTGCAAGCCACACTTTAATGGTAAAAGAGCCGCTTGTGGCTTGCAAGCCAGTTTGGCCACCCCATACTAGATGCTGAACACCTAGTTAGACATGGTTAAGGTTACAATTTAGTCATAGATTCCATGACTTTACTGGACATCTATGGCTGAAGTCAGGGCTGGAGGTGGAACTGTACGCCCCTGCCCGCCGACGGCGGTTGGAGCTGTGGCTGTGCCCACCCCCCCAGCTGCAACTGTGATTGTGCGCCTGTGGCTGGGGTTGGAACCGGGACTGTGTGCCCCTGTCCCGCAGCTGCGGCCACCTCTGGAGCAGGGGCTGTGTGCCCCCACTGTGGCTGCGGCAGCTGGAGCGACTGCTGTCCCCCACCCCCGCCATGGCAGGGGCTTGGCCTGTCAGTCCCGTCTCCCCCGGCCCCCCACACCCATATCATCACCATGGGACTTCAGCTGTCATTATTCCTGCCCTACCTAACCCTGTCCCCCGGTTATTTTGACTAAAAGTCAGACAGGTCACAGGCTCCCATGAATTTTTGTTTATTGCCCGTGACCTGTCTGTCACAGTTATTTTTAGTAAAAGTAATGAAATCTTAACCTCAAACATGGTCCCTACCCCAAAAGAGTTTAAAGTCATTTGAAACCAGATGCAAAAGTGTGAAACAAAATGAAGCAAAAGATTATGCAGTTACACAGAAGGGAGAAACTGAAGCTGACCTTTCTCCTATAAAAAAAATAAGTAAGATCAATTATTCTTTACTGCACACAACCTAGCCATCATTGAATGGCTGATTTCTTGTAGTCATGATTGCAGAAGTGAGTCCTGAGGAGAAGAGAATGGCGTTACAGATTAATTCAAGAAGAGAGTATCACACATCTCACTGACCAGGTCCGCAGCAAAAGCACCAGCGGCTTGGTTTCCAACTTCAGATTTTTCATTATATGAAAAGGCATTTAATCTGTCCCTGCTGCAAAAGGCTAGACTGGCCAAGACTGAAACACAAGCTGCTTTATGCCGAGGATGTGGCCAATTAGTGGCCAACCTGGGCAGTGCAAAGACCCCAGAATGATCCTGGGAAAGCAAAGTAATATTTAAAGCAGCCTCTCACGAAGACATACACAACCCTGCCAACTGCTCCATTTTTTTCTGTCTAAGCATTATGTCACCTTGAACAGGTCTCCAGCCCTTTCATCACATGCTACAACAGCCTGGAAATTCTCTTATCTAAATAGGACATGCTATTCCTATGCCCACAACATAAACGGATATAATCTCTACTAAAGTAGCAGCAAACAGCTTCCAATATCCAAACAATGTCATTTATTGTCCCCTCATTCCCACTCCACTTAAGTGGTATTTTTTGCTTTGTGCACAGTGCTAAAGTTAAGCCCACGCACTAGTCTCCACAGGATTGGACCCTAAAAACCATAGAATACTAGTCTACAAAAATCATAGCATTCCACTAAGCTTCCACTTTAGCTGTATCTTTTTCCTATTGGTCAACTTGAATTTTCTTAGTTATATTGTATTTTAGCAGTTTCATTTGTACAATTGCTTAGTTAAACTTATTAAATAATTTAGCTAGTGTTGATAAAAGGAGAAAATAATAAGTATACTGTTATAATGCCTGTGTATTGCATGGGTATTAATAAATGCAGTCAAAATAGAACAGTTTATTAAAATTTACTATTATAAATCGTTTTAGGCATCCCTGAAAAGTTAATGCTTAAAACATACTATCCGCAAGTCTCAAAGATACCACAGGAGAGTCACATCAGACTGCCGCCAAATATTGCCATGTATTACCATATATGGTAATAGTACCCAAGTACAGCTGCAGCCATTCAAATACTGGATAACACCTGCCTGTTAAACACTAGAAATGCTCTGTTATAGTAGTTGTCTGAAGCTGAAATACTCTGCCCTCTACCATCATTGAAGAAATTACCAGAAGAGTGCCACTGAAAACTCTGGTTTCAATTAGCTTCTATTTACAATCATTTCAGTAAACAGCAGAAATGGGGAACTATATGGCACTTCATTTTCTACTATTGCTGGGTCATTTAAAAAGTTGAGGTATGCATGTGCTATTTAAAAGAGTATCCACAAAGCCTCAGAATATAAATACAGAAGGGTCAAGCAACATTCTCTGATGAGCGTGAAAGTTTAATTCAGCAAGGACCAGGCCACATCTTGTACCAGCAAGCTGCACCCCGCTACACTAAGCTATTCTGCTCCACTTCCTAGTATAGTACATCAGCTTATATTATCATGTACTGCACAAAGGGAGAGAAGCGTTTTACAACATGGATCAGAATATATTTGTAGCACTAGGCTAATAAAACAAAGAGCTGTAGATTTTATGTAGCAGCAGTGGCGATTGCTGAAAAAGATCAAGATGATTCAAGCAAGAAAAACCAGAACAGGTACAAAGAATGGAAAAAACCACCAAAGAGAGGAAACGGTTTATTTGAGAGCAAAAGATTCACTGTCAAGACACAACATTGTAATTTTGTTTTTAAAACAGACCTACCCCTGTTTTTAGGCTTGTGATTCAAACAACGTAACAAGGGTCACTGAATGTTTTATTATTTAGTCATTTGTATCAACACTTACCTTATTCCTATAAGTAGAGCTATGAGCATTGAACAGATAGGATCTGCTATCATTAGACCGTAGTTCTGCATCAATATAGCTGATATGATTACACCAACACTTCCAAGAGTGTCTGCGACAACGTGTAAAAATACACCTACAAAAGAGCATTAAAAAAAAAATCAAAACACTTAAAAACCAAAACCCTTAAAAAAGTTGGTGGAAACATTTTGATGAGAACTCTTAAAAGCAGACAACAACATGAACTGTGCTAGCGAATTTGATGTTGATTTAAAGGGCTTCCTGTAAGTCAGCACAGAATTAGGTCCTATACCCTGAAGAGTAGCTAAGGCATTCAGAGAAACTCTTTTTTAATGTGGCCATGCCATGGAATATTCTTGACTACCACCATCAACTGAACTGGTGACTAAATGTCAGAATAGATTTAACCAGTTAGAAGTCCTTCATCCAATGGCTAGGCCATAATACAGCAGATGAGTCAAATCTCTACCCCCAGTGATCCATAAGCAACATTTCTATCCGAGGAGATAACAAAAGTTTCTCTAGCAGGAGCTCTGCAAAGCTTTGCGAGATATTTATGTTTTACAAGTTACATATTCACTGTCAATACAAATTAAAAATATTTCTTGCATTAATAAATTATGATTATATGTGGGCAAATATAGCTTTAGGTTAAAACAGTTGAGAGCCAACTCTTTGTAGCAAGCCAAAGATAAGCCTGTGGAGCTCTCTGCTGGCAATTATTGGTACAGTCACAGTTCATCAGCTGCTGTTAAAATAAGTAATTGTTCACAGCTTGAAGTATTTCACCCATAAACATCTAGCCAGATTAAAAAGAAAAAAGATTGGCATTTGATTAAGAAAAACATTTTCAACAGAATTAAAATCTCAAGCTAGTTTTTAAATTGTTTGCATAAGGAAACACTAAAGCTATAAACAAAACACACAGCAACTTCAATATCTTTACTGAGAGTTTCAATTAAAATTTTTCAGCCAAAATAAGAAAGGTAAGATAACTGCATTAGTGTTCATTTCACGATGCACTGTTTGCGCAACAAGCAGGAAGATGGCTTCCGAGGTATGTAAAATATATTCTAAATAATCATCCAGTATCACTAAGTTTTATTAAGATAAAACACGTAAGAAAACCTTCAATAACCAGTCTTGTTAAATTCACATTTCATTCTAATTAATATTCTATGTTAAGACCAACAGGCCAGAAATTTGCCTTAAAGAATTTTTTTAAAATTCTTGTTATATATTTGCTTCTGAAACATAGCCATTCACAAACACTTTAATGTGCGGGGGGTGTGGGGGGGGGATTTTAAAGTAATACATATGGTGGAAGAGATCAGATAAGACTATTGCCTTGCAAGTGATATATCTGACAACTACAGGATAACCCCGGAGCCACAGAAGTATCCGATAAGAGACACCACAAGTATACATTTCTTTATGTCAAGTATAACGCAAGGAAATGAAGTTGCATGTCACATGCTGGCTTCCCTGTGGTTTGGTCAGGCCAATGGTGATTAAATAATCAATTTTAAAGTAATTATTTCTCTTATTATTCTTGTTTAAGCAGCACACAGGCAACCAAATGTCCCCTTTGGAGCTCATGTATTGTTGTGTATCATCAACAGCCAGACAAGACACAGGACGGTGGCAGATAGAGAGCCTTTGTGTATGCCTTCCATAGGGATCTGGCAGACCTTGGGGAAGAGTAAAAGCATCCTTTTCTTATGGTGATAGAGCATAAGTGGAAAACTAGGTAAATGGGGCCAAAGGCTGCGGGGCTGAAGAGAGGGGCCCACAGACAGTGAAGCTGCACAAGCCACTGAGTTTCCTTCTACTCTCCCTGAACAGATTGTAGCAACTGCCAGGAGGTAACCTTAACAGTCTTCCCCAAATCCCCTCAATTACTAGAGATCACCCAAATCCTTCATTCTGAGAGGAGGGGTAGAGGTCAAGAGATGACTGTGGTTCCTGCCCAGCAGCAGAAAAAACCATGGAATGGACCGTATAGACAACCCAGCAGCTGCTGCAGAATAGCTCACAGAAAGCCAGAAAGAGCAAAGTACTAAGGCAGCTTCGTTGTCAGCCCCTACCTAGCCTCCCCAGCAGCTCCTAATTTCCCTCCTCACCCTTCCATTTATTTGGAGACGGAAGAATACAACACTGTCCCGCACTGACGTTTAGACTGCAAGATGCCCACGGGGACATGGCTGTAGAGATGTTCTCTACCAGCCCCAGTCCCTATTCCCAATTTATGTTATAAGAAAAGAATTGATCCAGGTGTCCAGAACAAGCTAAGTTACTGGGGGTTTTGTTTTAGCTAGACAAGATGGTTATTCACTCACCATATTCTCACTTTCCTGAAAGGTGAAGTTAAGTACCGCAATCCTCAACCTTTAAAATCCAAAATATTGGCCAAAGCTTTCCAAATTTGTTCCAGTATGATATTACTTACTATTTCATTACTTTCCAGAGCATGTACTGCCATAGGAGATAAGCACTTAAAATACAGAAATTATGTCACTTGTATAAACTTTTCACATTGAATTTCTGAAGAAAATAAACCAGACACTTAACACAACTTTCTGTTCATTATTAATACCTATAATAACAAACAACACCACTGAATTTAAAGCCAGCATCTAAATGGGTCTATTATCTAACCTAACAACCCACTATGGTTATTCTTGTCATACCTTCTAAAATCTGTCTGTTGGATCCTGCAGCCCCTTCAAGAGAGTGATCATCTGTAGAGACAATTATTGGCAAGTTAAGCCACATACAATGTATCCTTCTAAACTTATCAATTCTGTTAAGCTTCAGAAAGAAAAACTACTTTGAGTGCACCATAAGGTTATTCATGATGACTAGTCATAACTCTGGCTAGAAAATTTAGTATTTGCTGTACCAGAATGAAGGTAAAGAGCAAGCTAAAATTTCAAGATGGGGAGAGGGAGGAGAGAAGGGGAAGCCTGTGTATATGTGTGCGTGTATAGGAGTGTGTGTATATATTATATTTTACACATACTCTACTCCTGTTTATCCAAAACCCTATTATCCAGATCTCTGCAATATCCAAACTCTTTCATTGTCCCTCAGTGAGAGACACGTGCTGCTGAAGGTATGTATCTCATGCTGGGGGACAAGGAGGGAATCTGAATAATGATGAGGTTCGGATAATGGAGCACAGGCCCTCTGCAACGATTGCAAGGACGACGAGGAGCAGGAGCCATTGCTGCCCTCGGCTAAGACGGAGACCACCTTGCTACTGCATGGCTCCTGTAGCAGTGCAGGGAGCCCTCTGCAGCCCACCTGTGGATTGAATGAGCAGGGCTATGGCAACAAAGGGCTCCCTATGAAGCCTGGGGACAATGAAAGGGGCAGAAGTTGGGATAATAGGGTTTTGAATAAATGGGACTATACCCTTTAAATGCACGTGTACATAAAATGTACTATAAAATGCCGATCCCTGAAGGCACAAAGTGTGGGGGATTGCAGTGGAGGCTGCAGCCCTGACAAGAGAAAGCAGAAACTATACTTTGAACCTTTGCATACACATGTGAATACTTAGGTGGACACATCTTTTTTAACGTAACCAAGCTGTATGCATAGCTAAACCAATATAACAGGTATAATTCTTTTTTAAAGTAATATGAACTACATGACATAACTCGAGCTGGTTTTGTTACGGGCTTTTTGAAAAGCTGATACCTTTAAGTTTTCCTTGACACAAACAAGTTTACAGTTAAAGTTGCATATTTACTACCACAAATATTAGTATAATTCACAAGTATTAGATTAGTTCTCATTATTGCAATGCTTAATTTACTACAAAGCTCACAATGAAACAACAATTATATGCCGCAAAAAGAAGCGACACTGACTCGGATGTACCACAAGATGCATTAGGTGGATAAGAACATGCCACTAGCATTCTCCTTTTAGAAACATTTCTTCCATATGTGCTGGCTAAAGCAAGCTGACAGTATCTTCTCATCTATCCACAAAGATCTATGCCAGTAAAACTTAATGGCACATATCATCTCTGGTGCATGGCCTTTGTTTTCAGACAGACACTTACCATGACAATAATCCTGATTGTGCGAGTCTCTCTTCCCATGACTGTGATCATGAGAATGCCCATGGCCATGTTTGGATTCATGGCTGTGACCGTGACCTCCGTGACTGTGTCCATGGCTGAGAACACCATTAAACAGAGAATGACTGTGCTCATGCCCTATAAATAAATATCACTGTCAGAATACTGTGTACATGAATATTAAAGAAAAGTATGCTTTCATTCATTTCTAAAGTACTTAATATCTACCTGCTCCTCACGGAAAAGAGAAGATTTTTTTTTTCCATGTAGGTCACAGAGAAAAACTAGTACACATAATTCAAAATCTAAATTAATCCAAGTTACGTTGCGGCATAAAATATTTACTGAACTTGAACAAGGAAGTCAAAATGATTTATATGTTACTTCTTTTTGAGCCAAGCCATTTTAGACCACCACTGAAATATCCTGCATACATTTTTGCATGACTGTAACACACACTTCCAGCTCTGTGAGGTGAATGTGGCCATACTTTTCTTGTGTTTATACTATGATGTTTTTAAAATCAATCACATTAAAAAGTGTGTAAAATACTTACACTACTTCCACCTGTCAGGATGAGTTACAGTTCACAGACTATGTTAGAAAGTCTAATGTCAGCAAAAAAACAGATATTTGTGTATATAAATCTTGAATTTAATTTGAAAAACCATGCCAAACAATTGCAAGAACTACTGAAAGAGTTTCTTCTTCGATTTAAGATTTTTGTTCAGCTATTCTCCTGTAAAATGCTCCACCTGAGGCCATTTCAGTCTCCTATTTAAAGAGAAAAATCTTTTGTAGAAATGAAAATTCTTGCAAGTCTCTTACAATAAACTACAAGTTCCAGACAGCAGATTAATGTCTTTTTGGGTTTCCAATTATTGGGAGTTCAATAAGGAGGAAAAATGGACACTATCTTAGTAATACTGAAAAAGCCAAGGCTGTACATGACTCAATAGGCTTGCTGCTGAAAAACATAAAACATACAACATGCAGACCCTGGTTGGAGGGCTAACTGTAACTGAACACAAATGAGGAAAGGATAATGAGAATTACAACGGTCATACCAGAGCCATGTGAGTGTCCATGGCCTCCATGTTGAAAAACAAATATTCCTATAAGATTCACAAGGAATCCTAATACAGACACAGGAAGAAGTCTCTCATGATGCACATCAGGAGGCTCCAGTGCTCTCTACAAAAAGAAGAAAGTTTAGTGTATCATTTATAATCCTACCACACAATTAGAAGCAACTCCAGAAAATAGACACAGTATTACATATCTGATTTGATGCAGGAGTTTTCTGATACAATATCCAAATCCAGAGATTAATGATAATGAATTAGGAATGCTGGTATTCTAGAAGAATTATGAAAACTTAAAAAACCTCAATACCTATATTTCTCCTTGTTTGGAAGTGAGTCACCAAATATTTTGTATGTCTCTTTTCAAATGGTATTAGAGCTACATTTCACTATCATCTTCTACATTATATTCTGTTAAGACATTATTCAGCTCAAAACAATACCCAGACATTTTAGTTCTCAGTTATACTGGGACTACGTAAAATTATTTCTCAGTCTGAAGAATACCTCTTTTCTCTCAAAAGGTGAGGTAAGAGGAGCAGCTGAGAGTCTATTTTCTTGGAGTTTTAATTACCCCTAAATCCTATGTTAAAAACGGAAACAAGTTTACCAGAACCTATTAAGGACATCACTAAAACACTCTAGAATTACTTTTTGTAGTTAGCAATGCTTCCTCTGACACTGTTTAATCCTGCAAGCCTCTCTAACAGAGTAGGAAAAGGGCTAAAAAGGGAAGAAGTGCCTGCTCATTTAGCATGTGAGTGGGTGGGAATGAACCAACGCTCCAAAACTGGACTGCCTATTACCAGAGGTCAGTATAAAAAGATGAGGCCTCCAGCATGGGCCAGGGGGAGCACTCTAACGAAAAACCCACTCCCACATTCCCAGCAGAAAAGACAAGCTGCCATTTTATCAGGAGACTGCTTTGAGGCTTCCTGGTGGTCTCCATACTGAATATCAGGCTTTGGGTTAGTATTTTTTCTGGCTAGCTTTTGTAGTCTTAGAGTAAAGTTTTCCAAAGCATTTAAGTAACTTATGAGCCTATGTCCCATTAACTTTTGATTAACTAAGTCACCTGTGAAAATGGGACTTCCTGCTTTTGAAAGTTTTACCTTTTGTTACTATCAAACAAATAAGCTACCTGTCAATAGAAAAGAAGAAAACATACCTGCAAGTGTTCAGATTGTTACTGTGTGACATTTATTCAAGACCTCTTCCAGGCAAAAATTAACACTACCTCCTAATAGCATAAAAGCCAGTTTCTCTGCTCACTCATTTTTCTTCACAACCTAATCAACACTACCGCTGCTGTTTGACAATCTTATCCCTTTTTTTCCTTCTGACAAATGTCTAATCCTAACTTCTTACTTAGAATGCTCTGTCCACATAAAATGCCCAAATGGCTTCCTTTTGTTTTTCTAGCCTTATTTTTCCTTTAATAATGAAAAGGAAGAGCCATTCCATGGAATACTATACTGGCTGCTGAAGAAACGGGTAGATCTGACAGAAGTTAGTATCATTCATGCAATCAAAATACGTTATTCTGAAAGCTAATACAGACACTCTGAAAAAAGAAGATATTTATACATGTACATCCAACACTGACTCCAGCGGATTTTCTCTATTCTGTTCAGATGACACAAGTTTAATTGGTTGCAAATATGACTACTCATCATCCATTACAGTATCGGTTGGGTTGTCCTCTCCCCTTAAATATACACTCCTAAACAGAAATGCAGCTTCTGCAAAGGTAAACATTTTTTCAGAGGAGATTTATTGACTGCAATTGACCTCAGAACATACCTCAACGCCTTCAGAGAAAATGAAGAATGCAGTGAAGATCAGAAACAGACCATTTACAAAACCAGCCAGTACCTCTGCTCGAACATACCTAGAATCAAATCAGCAATACCAGATGTTACCTCTCCTTTTTATAAACTGAACGTCCAGAAGTGTTGAGAGTTTTTAATTTCAGTATATCAGAGGCAGGATGGTGCTATGGACTAGACTATGGTTTATTCCTTCCTCCCCCTACTGTAGCTTATGTATAACCAAATTTTTGAAATGAAGGACTGATGTGTGAATTGACGGGGAGTTTTAAATGTCAACCAACCTGATTTTTATTGGCTTGGATATAAAATACACTAAATTATTTTCCACACTGCAGCACACTTTTCAGATGATCCCAAAGTGTATTACATAGGAAGGAGAGAATCCCCATAATACAGATGAGGAAAATGGCACAATACTAAGTGACCTAGACGGTCTCTCAGAAAGCCAGTAGTAGAGTGGGGAATAGAACTGATGTCTTGACTCCAGTCAGGTCTGAAAGTAACTGAGGCCACTTACTGGGGCAGGGAGGCTCCGGCCCCAGAAGGGGTGGGGCCTCGGGTGGAAGGGGCGGAACTCGGGGGGGGGGGGGGTCAGCATCCCCCAGTCAGCCCTTCCAGTCCAGCTGGCCCACGCCACCCAGGGCTCCCGTGTTGATTTAAAGGGCCCAGGGCTCCGGACGCCACTGCTGCTACGGCAGCAGCAGTGTCTGGAGCCCCGGGCCCTTTTAAATCGCCAGCTCCAGGGCAGTTGCTCCCTTTGTGCCCCGCCCATCGGCGGCCGGGGGGGCCAAAAGGGGCAGGAACATTAAAGCGCTACAGGGTCCTTTGCCGCGGCCCCGCCAACGGGGGGGCACAGCAACATTAAAGCGCAGCGGTGGCAAATGACCATCCTTAAAGCGCTGCCGCAGGAGCACTTTAATGTCCCTGCCCCTTTTGCCTCCCCTGTCGGCGGCCCTGCTGGTACGGACCCACATTAAAGCATTGCCATGGCAGCGCTTTAAGGACGGTCCTTTGCCGCGGCAGCGCTTTTTAACGTTGCTGCCCCTTCCCCCCTCCTCCGTTGGCGGCCCTGCCAGTACGGACCCTACCAGCAGGGCCGCCGACAGTGGAGGCAAAAGGGGCAGGGACATTAAAGCACTGCCATGGCAATGCTTTAATGTGGGCTGGGTATGGACCGGTGCAGGTTCTTAGCAGTACACAGTACTGGCCCGTACCAGCTCACTTTCACCCCTGACTCCAGTCCACTGATATAAACACTATGATAGGCTGCTTCCCCTTCCCCAGTTGTTTACGGTTTTTCAGATATTAGATCTATATAAAAGAAATGGTTCCTTATCTTGTGGTAAGTGTTTGAGATATTCTGTGCATGTGGATCCTACTTATGGTGCAGCAGCGCCCCTTGCACAGGTGTTCTGAAGTTCAAACAACAGTGTCCAGTAGGGATCATGCATATACCCTTCATGCCCACATGCACCTCCTCACAACTTGTTCTCCCTCAGTTCCTTCACTGCCCAGAGTCTCAAGAGGAGTCTCCAAGCAGCAAAGATGGAGAGTGGGTCTTGGGAGTCATAGGCACAGAACCTCTTGAAGAACAACAGTTTACCACAAAGCAACAGTTTCTTCATGTTCCTGCACATGTGGCTCCCAGTTACAGTGATTTAGGTAGTGGGAGCTAGGAGCTTATCTTCCAAGCTGAGCATATCCCAATCAGCATGCATTCCAGATGTTGATACTAGGGAGAGTCGTGGTTGGTCAGTGGGTAGAGAACCATGTCACAGCTCTATAAAATTTCAATGACTGCAACTCTGCTGAAGCATGCTGCCAAGGTAGCTTGAGTAGAACTAGCAGTAACTTAACTTGGTATCTGTAATTTATGGATGACAAATTGATACAGTCCATATAGATAATCTCCAAGAGGAGGCTGCTCTGCCTTTAGATGCACTGCCACATGCTTTAAGAAGCCTAGGAGATTTTCTGAACAAACTTGTCTTACTAAGATAGTACTAATGTACCATCTGACATCTGAGGATGAGTGAGGCCATGGAAAAAAGAGACCAAAGTGTATATATTGATTAACATGAAGGTCCAATACAATCTTAGGGATAAACTTAGGGTGAAGTTGCATGGTGACCCCGTCTGCATGGAATATTGCATACGGTGGATTAGACAGTGTGTGGACTGATCTTACTCTATACGCAGAAGCGCACAGGAGAGCTCCAATAAATTCTATGGATTGGGATGGAATCAACAGATTTCTTTAAGTTGATTTTCAATCCTAACTCTGAGAACAGGCCCAGAATCCATTTTACCAAATTGGAGACCTGCTGGCTAATTTGCCTCGGATTAACCAACTGTCAAGGTGTAGGTGCATAAATACTTTGACAATGTAAATGAGTGTTTACCACCACCAGACACTTCATGAAAATTCAAGGTACAGCTGAGAGACCAAATGAGATGACCCTGATGTTCCTTCAGTACTGAAGTGAGGAGAAGCTTTGTGTGTAACAGAAATACAACCACATGAAAGTGTGCGTCTTGCAAGTTGAGAGTACTGAATTAGTGCATTGGATCTAATGTCATATGCCAGAGTCACCATGCAAAACTTTGGACTGGCCATATATATGTTGAGGAGCCTGAGAGCTACTAAAGACTGCCACTCCCCTTTTCCTTTGGTATCAATAAGTAAAGGGAATAAAATCCTTTTCCTCTGAAGTGAAGCACCTCTGGCTCTACAGCATGTAGCTCTAATAGAAACTGTATCTTTTGGTGCACAAGATTCATGTGAGATTGGTCCCTGAAAAGGGGTGGGGAGGAGGTATGGTGTACCATGGCAAAATTGTAGGGCATACCTTGTTGAATGATCTGCAAGACCCAACAGTCTGAGGTTATTACAGTCTAGACATCCTTGGGGTGGGGAGGATACAGATCCACAGATTGGGTTGGTATCCTTGACTAAAGCATTATATTTGTTGTTGGGATGGTTGAGAAGTTTATAAAGAAGTTGCTTTCTGCTTTAGGAATCTCTGTCCCTTTCTAAACTGATTTAGTTGTTTCTGATGGTGCAAGGATGTAGATGATTGAAATCTCTGTCAAGTAGTATTCTAATATATTGTAACCTTTTAGAGTTGGAAATATAAAAGCCACAAGATCTAAGCATGGCCCAAGAATCTTTCAAAGGGTGCAGTGTGTCACTAAACAGGTCTTTTCCATCAAACAGTAAATCCTGTACCATAGTCTACAGTTCTTTAGGTAGACCTCAGGCAGGCAATCAGGAGTCTCTCATCATGGCAATTCCAGTGGCCACTGACCTTGCGTCTGTAAAGCTCTGCATGGAGAAAGACTCTAGAAATCTAACGTCCCTCTGAGCAGATCAGTTTAAACTCCTCCATTAAATCAAGTGATAGTTCGTTGGAAAAATCTGCTGCCTTGTCCCACTGTATAGTTACTTCTAGTCAACAGAGCTAAATAGTTCACCATCCTGACCTGAAGGGATGTTGAAGGGCAAACCTTGCAGCCAAGGGGACCTTTTTCTCATATGACAGATTTGTAAGCTTGTTTGGCTCTAACTAAGTGTTGTGACTAACGATGACGACGGCAATGAACGCGAACAAAAATATTCAAATCCTTTAGGAAGGACTCGTTACTTTCGTTCAGCTCTTTTCAAAGTATGGGCTTGCCCATAATTCTTTGGCAGCAGCGAGAATCTTCATCAATTGGAAGAGCTATTCTGCTCTGAGCAGCTGGTAGCAAGATATCAAATAACTTGTATGTCGTCCTAGAAGTTCCTTTGGAGCTGTTTCAGGATGTCTGCCATTCTTTTTAAAAGTTCTTGATAGGTCTTAAAATCATCCCGCAGATGAGGTTTCATCTGGTGTAGGTATAGCAAGAGGTGTATATGAAGGGTTATTGTGAATTTCTCCGCACTCTTCCTCAAAGGATTTTGTGATTCCACATTTGGTTGAGGTATTGGCAGAGAGCAGGGTTTTGACGGCTTTCTCAAGGAGATTCTTGGGAGACTAAAAGACTTGGTAGCCATGAATGAGGCGACCCAGGTGGCCAATAAGGCCTTAGTTGAAATCCATAGGCAACGGGCTTAAGGAGGCTGTCCCCAGGGAATGAAAGCTGATTCTTGCAATGGGGGTCTAAAGGTAGAGTCCTTAGGATAAACTATTTTATCCTAAAGCTTCGCTCAAGAAGGAGACAGTGAAGGTGGACGAGGTTCTGGTGAATGGTCTCTACTGGGTGCTTGGGAAGAGTCACAGATGACAATGAAGAGTCTTCAGAGTGGGGAATTGCACAAGAAGGCATTGCTAAAGTATGTGGAGTAGACAATTTACCATGACTATGGCTCCCAGAATGTAGTGATATCTTCATGATCGGTATCCTGGGCTGTCCAGATAGTCTTCAATCCAGCTGAAAGAGGGGAATAAGGCAATAAAGGGGAGCATAACTCTGGAGTTATTCTCATGTCATCCATGTCCCTAAAATGGAGAGCTGAAAGCATCTCTGGCAACACTTACGAGAAAGGAGGAGGAGTCTGGTACCACTGCTGACAGGTTCTTCTTGCCTGAAAATTATAGCCTCACTGTATTAAATTTAAAAATAAATGTATTGTTTAAACTAAGTAGCCAAGAACTAAATAACTAATACAAAGTTATAAGGCTAATAAATTGAAACAGTAAAACTATACTAACAGCGAAATCATAAAAAAATGTCCCCACTCGCTGCCGAAAAGCGGTTAGAAGGAACTGAGGATGAACAGGTAATGCTGCCCCTTTATGCCCATAGAGGAGGAGCAGGGTGAAGTGCATCAGAGGGCATGAAGAGCTCCTGCGCAACTCTTACTGCAAAACTCCTACGCAAGGGATGTTGCTGCACCATAAGTGGGATTTACACGGACAGGAACTAGAATAAAGCTTTCCTCAATACTCTAAAATCTTCCCCACTAAGATCAGCCACTAAGGGGAAGACTATTTTCATGCCGCAGGTAGATGGTTAGAGCCACAAAAGCAATATTTTGCCCACTGTTAACAGTTTTATTTGGATAATTGTTCCCACTAGCATGTGAGCAACAAGTTAATTTTCATTTAGGACCGCCACTGCTGTTCTTAAAATACACAACCAGCATTTCAACCACTCCATTTTTCAAAAAGGCAAGCAGAATCAGCTTAGTGTGGTATGCAGTACTCCAATATAGGGAATATTCAAGTTAAGATTGGGGAAAAACGAAGTCCAAAAAGAAAAGCTGTTCCAACTTTGGCTATCACCCATTACGGTGGATGCTATCAGCTGAACAATATGCAATGTGACATTTTGTTTTGCAACATGATTTGTGATTCCATTAATATCAATCAGCAAACAGTTCTTGGAAGGGTCTTAAACTTCACCCCAGAAACACAACACTAATTTTATTTATAATTATGCTACACTTCTGTAGGAGACACACTTGGCTACTTATGTGCCAATTTCAAGAAGTTCAAGTTTAGTTCAATATTCTTCCCCCTGCCTTCGCCTTTTCTTTTTTTTTTTTTTAAATGAAGTTGATTTCAATAGTTTCCCCAAAATTTTTCAACAAAAACTAGTAATGCTACACTTTCCTCAGGCATGGCAACAGGAAGTGCTACCAATGCACTTATGAAAATATATTTCCTATGCTATAAGAAGCTAAAATTTCTTACCCATATGAGAAAGCATCATTTGATCTCCACTTCGAAATGACTGAAGCTGCTAATCCAGCCAGTAGAGCAGTACAGTCGAAAAACATATGAAAGGAATCTGATATTAGACCTAAACTAGAAAGGAGCAGAAATATTTCAGTTAGTTCCATAAGGCCATATTAAGTTTGAAATTCAAAATACTTTTAACACTCCACCCCCGCCCAACACCCACCCTAGCAGTGCACACTCCTGTTCCTTTTGTGTCTGAGATTATAAATACTATTGAAAATTACTGAGCAACTGTCAGGTGGTGGGGCTATCTGAATCTGGCTTACCTATTACAGAACTCCCATATAATGCCCTTAAGAATAGTTATGATGCTTTAGACAACACATGGAAAAATTCTACTACTGGAAAACAAGGTTAGACTTCCTAAGTCTGTACACATAACATTTAGAAGCCAAAGTTAAAAGGGTCATTATATGCTAAAAACCCAACAAGGTTCCATGTTTATTGTCTCAAGAACTTGATCATAGTCAGTTACAGGCAAAAAGATAGCAGTTAAAAAAAGTAGGCAACTCTGTCAACTCAATATAGAATTTAAAAATATATAAAAGAAAATCTGATTGTGCATCATTTAGAATAAAGATAGGACAACTGAAACTTAATTCTCTCAATATAAGAGTCAGAAAAGAAGTCCACTTCCTTCCCCCCTCCAATAATTCCATTGATCCTATTGTGCTAGCAGGAGAAAAATGTGTCAAGCAAAGCAAACACATGAATCATTACTATATTTAGTATTACTATTGTGGCAGTGCGTAAGGATTCAAACAAAGATTAGAGTACCACTATACTAGAGACTGTAGAAAAGCCACCACAAAGACAGTTCTTGCCACAGAAAGCTCACAGTCTATGAGATGCAACAGATTGTAGTTATTAGTTAAATAAAAATATCTTAAATGTACTTGATAGGTAAGTCAAACGTTTCAGAAAGTTTTTAGATAAAAAGGTTTTGCACTTGAAATTAACTGATTTATCAAGCAAACGAAGTATTATTTGTAGTTAGTGAATTGAACAGATAGTTTTGGGTCATCATGTCCCTCAAAATTTTAGAACTAATAGATTCTCATTCTCTCAGTTTTTATTAATAGGTTTATTCCATTTTTTCAGCTCCCACTTGGTTTCTTAACTTTGAATGAACAAGTAATTGAACTAAACTAGTCGAATAAACTGTAAAGAGAAAATATTCTCTCTGCACCTGCTGAAGAGACTACTGCTGTCAAAAGATGGTTTAGTCATTTAGCCAGTGACTTCCACCAGTTTAGTGGTTTGTCTTTCTTTGCTTAATTTCTTTTAAATTATTTAATATATGACAGTTAGTTTAGGCCTTACCATAAGCTGCCATAATTTAAAAAATAAGCCTGTATTTAATTTAAATTAAAAAATCTCTCTTTTAGTCATCCATTTTTTAATCCAACCTGTAAGGACCCGCAGGTCTACACCCCAGGTTTGCAGAGTCGTGGGTGACCAACACCTCCAGAGTGCCACTAGGGAGTCAGGCAAAGCACCATCTATTCATTATGGGAGGGGTAGTCACTGCAGAAAGTACTGCCCAAAGATGTCAGCGCAACTGAACCCAGTGGTCGCCTGATCGGTGCACATCAACTATTTAAGCCTGGAGGCTGCTCCAAGGAACCATCTGACCAACGATGCAGACTCTGGCTTGCCGCTGCTACAGACCTTGTCTTTTGTCCTCCGTCTTACTCCTGACTTAGATCCAATCCTGGCTTGACCATGCTACCTGCTTTCCTGACTAGTCTCAGCTCTTGCCTTTTACTCCAACTCAGCAGATGTCACTGGCACCAACACCCTGCCCATTATACAACCTGGGACAAGTCAGCAGTTCTACGTGGTTGACAGCGTAACCAATGCATTGAGTAAGGTGCAGATGCATTGAGTAAGGTGACACTCATATGTAGTCATTTTTCAGAGTACAAATTTACTTTTAAGCTTGAACCAAACATGTGATATTGCTCCCAATACATTCGGACAGCACACAATCATTTCAGGCAACTAATTTTTTTAAATGTGCATACTGGGTACTATGCATTATCAGGACGGCATGTAAGGTGTGCACCATAAAATGGCATTCCAATGCCCCTCTACAGTGCATATGAGCATCAGAAGCCATTATGCATTACTGAACTGTGACAATACAGAGTCTCCAGTAACTCAAGCAGCCAGTGTTTACAGAAGTGCTAACATAGCAGGGAACAAGCACAATAGTAGGGTAGGTAGGGCATGTTCATGTTAAAGACTTTTATAAAATCTAATAATTCAAAAATGTTGTTGTTTTAGGGGTGGGGAAGAGGAATCCCAAATGACAATTCAAGCAGCCTGCAACTTCTTTTAAGTCTTTGCTTGGTCCTGAGTTCATGAGCAGTAAATTGAGCCTAATGTACATCATGCTGCCAGAAGCTGCAATAGTGTGAAGCAGCAAGCTGGAAAGACTTGCAGCTCCTTTAGGAAGAAATATTGTATTTTTAACTCAGCGATAACAGATATTTTCTGAAGGAGACTTAAACCAATATCAGCATCTGCTTCAAATCATAATTAATCTTTCACAGCAGCACCTGGACTAGGGTGAAATGAAACAGTACCCACTTCTTAATGCCATTCAGTGAAAGCAATGGATTCCATTCAAATGTTGGGTTAGACTCACTTGTAACATTACATTTAGAATAAAAGGAAGTTTTCCTACAAGGCAATCCATGTGCATACATCACAAACATAATTAACCAAACAGCTTTCTTTGTAAAGGCCAAATAACAGAAAGGTCAGTTCTGTGGTTCTTTGAGGAAAAGTTACTTCTGCACTTTCACACATGTCTGATGTACCTTCCAGTACTAATGCTTTCATAAAAGCAGTGAATGATGAGGGTCACATTAGTACCATTTCACAGAACTGAAGATTAGGAGCTAAGCTTACATGGAAATGCAGAGGCCATTTCAAAGAATCACCAAAAACTTCCCCCACGCACAATTACAAAATATTTAAGGGTCAGAAAATGTTTTTAAATGGACTTGTGTACTTCTGTTGATTTATGATGTATAACAGCCAGATTTATTTTAAAGTTTGCTTTTGTCTTTTTACCTATCAAGAATAGAAAAATCTATTCTTCTCTGATTGTGCTGCAAGACATCTGGGAGTTCCTAGAAATGTTTTCTGTTACATCTAACACTAAATTTAAGGGGAAAGGGAGTTTAATATTTGGGCAAAGAAACCTTCTATTATAGATTACTAATTAAGGTTAAATAGATGTTAACTAAAAAACAAATCCAGAATTTTAAGTAGCCTTACTTAAGACTTCTCCTGAAATTGCTCAACTTTATCTTGGCTCTTGTGTGGTCCTCCAGTTAATCTTTAAACACAGACAGGACCTGAATTTCTAATGTAAAAAAGGCAAACAAGCAATTTTATAAAGAGATCTTTCAGACCTTCTTTACCTTAAAAAAAAAAAGGTCAGCAACAAATGGCACAAACCACATTTTCCCCTTTAGCAGGTTACCTATACAAAAACATAACCGTTTTCAATTAACCTATTTCAGACTCTAGAATATATACTGTTTTGCTAGATATATATGTGAACACTGGAATTTTCAAAAGACCCTAAATGAGGTAGGTACAGTACTCAATCCCCTTTGTATTTCAGTGGGGGATAAACACCCAACTTGTTTAGGCTTCTTTGAAAATCCCAGCCATATATCAGATATAATTAAATTTAGATAATCTTGCAATATAGGAGCTTCTGTTTTACATCTTAGTAACCATTCAAGTGAGAAGTACAAAATGAAATCTACTTAGCAAGTTTTGTTTCCTGTTGCGAAAAAGTCATTAATTCCCTCTTTTTAAAAAAATCCAATACAATGTATCGTAAAGCCAGTATTTCAGACTAGTTAATTTTACAGTTCCTCCTCAGTGAATTGATTTTAAAATACTGCTTTTGATTATAGGGTACATACTGAATATTTCTAGTTTGTCAAGAGAATTCTTAAATGTGTTTTGACAAAAGGGACTAGAACTGCTACATTGCTAGCACACTGCTCAGTAAGAAACTTGTCTTTCATTTTTTTCAGAAGTATATTTTGTGAGCAAGGGGGCACTTTGGAAGAATTTATAAACACACAAGAACTGATACCAAATTATTGCATTTGTACCTGGAAAAAATATCTATCATATGCAGTTGGTTGGCATAGCAGCAAAAAGATTCTGAAGTGTGAGAAGTTGCAAATCTTTTCTTTTAAAAGGACAGTACATCAGTTTAGCATTTTGCACAGCGAATGTCTCTCCTAAACTGCCAAATTCAATTTATCCAAATATATTTAGATACAACTGTCATAAATATAAAGGAAAGGGTAACCACCTTTCTGTATACAGAATTATAAAATCCCTCCTGGCCAGAGGCAAAACCCTTTCACCTGTAAAGGGTTAAGAAGCTAGGATAATCTTGCTGGCACCTGACCAAAATGACCAATGAGGAGACAAGTTACTTTCAAAGCTGGGGGAGAGAACATGGGACAAAGGGTTAGGCTGTCTGCGTTATGCTTTTGCCGGGAACAGATCGGGAATGCTCTTCAGAACTCCTGTAAAAAGTTAGTAAGCAATCTAGCTAGAAATGCATTAGATTTTCTTTAGTTTAATGGCTGGTAAAATAGCTGTGCTGAATGGAATGTATATTCCTGTTTTTGTGTCTTTTTGTAACTTAAGATTTTGCCTAGAGGAATTCTCTATGTTTTGAATCCGATTACCCTGTCAGGTATTTACCATCCTGATTTTACAGAGGCGATTCTTTTACTTGTTCTTTAATTAAATTCTTCTTCTAAGAACCTGATTGTTTTTTCATTGTTCTTAAGATTCAAGGGTTTGGGTCTGTATTCACCTATGCAAATTGGTGAGGATTTTTATCAAGCCTTACCCAGGAAAGGAGGTGTAGGGCTTGGAGGGATAACGTCTCCAAGTGGGCTCTTTCCCTGTTCTTTGTTTAACACGCTTGGTGGTGGCAGCAAAGGGTTCAAGGACAAGGCAAAGTTTGAACCTTGAGGAAGTTTTTAACTTAAGCTGGTAAGGATAAGCTT